GAGACGGGGTTTCGCCGTATTAGCCAGGATGGTCTCGATCTCCTGACCTCGTGATCCACCCGTCTCGGCCTCCCAAAGTGCTGGGATTACAGGCTTGAGCCACCGCGCCCGGCCAACCCGGCTAATTTTTTTGTATTTTTTTAGTAGAGACGGGGTTTCACCATGTTAGCCAGGATGGTCTCGATCTCCTGACCTCGTGATCCACTCTTCTCGGCCTCCCAAAGTGCTGGGATTACAGGCTTAAGCCACTGCGCCCGGCTCATCAATCTTTTAAATTATTATTGACAGGGTCTTTCTGTCACCTGGGCTGGAGTGCAGTGGTGCAATCATAGCTCACTGCAACCTCGAACTCCTTGGCTCAACTGATCCTCCTGTCTCAGCTTCCTGAGTAGCTAGGACTATAGGCATGCGCCACCACACATGGCTAATTTTTAAACTGTTTTGTAGAAATGGGGTCTTGCTGTGTTGCCCAGGCTGATCTCAAACTGCTGAGCTCAAGCAATCTTCCTGCTACAGCCTCCCAAAGTGCTGGGATTATAGGCAAAAGCCACCACACCTGGCGAAGGCCTTAAGTACTCGAAATAACCAATCCTTTCTTTTATGGTTAGTGCTTTTAATGTTTTGTTTAAGGGATCTTGCCTAACCCAAGGTCATAAAGATATTCTCTTATATTGTATCTTCCAGAAGCTTTATTGCCTTATTTTTTAGAGCCATAATCCATCTGGAATTAATTTTCTAAAAATGGAGATATAATTCAAAAACCATAAAGTGTACCTTTTGGAAATGTACAATTCAGTGGTTTTTAAGGTCTATTCACGAGGTTGTGCAGTTGTCAGTGTGATCTGGTTTCAGAACACGTTATCACCCCAGAAAGAAACGTTTACCTGTTAGCAGCCATTCCCATCTCCCCCTCCCTCAGCCTTTGCCAACCATTCATCTACTTTCTGTTTCACGGATGTGCCTGTTCTGGACATTCCATAAAAGCAGACTCACACAATAGGTGGCTTTTCCTGTCTGGCTTCTTTCGCTTAACATGGTTTCAAGGCTCTTCATGCTGTAGCATGAATGGGTACTTTATTCCTTTTAATGGCTGAGTAATATTCCCTTGTATGGATAGACCACATTTTGTTTATCACCAGCTGATAGACATTTGAGTTATTTCTACTTTTTGGCTATTATAAGTGGTGCTGCTGTGAATATTTGTGTACAAGTTTTTGTGTGAACACATTTTTTTTTTTTTTTTGAGACGGAGTCTCCCTCTGTCGCCTGGGCTGGAGTGCAGTGGCCGGATCTCAGCTCACTGCAAGCTCCACCTCCTGGGTTTAAGCCATTCTCTTGCCTCAGCCTCCCGAGTAGCTGGGACTACAGGCGCCCGCCACCTCGCCCGGCTAGTTTTTTGTATTTTTTAGTAGAGACGGAGTTTCACCATGTTAGCCAGGATGGTCTCGATCTGCTGACCTCGTGATCCGCCCGTCTCGGCCTCCCAACATCTAACTTTTAAAATCATCATATCAATTCACACACACACCCCCCTGCTGGGATTCTACTGTATCTATAGATAAACTGACACAGGAATTAGGATTGAATTCTATCTACAGATTAATTTTGGAATAATTTACCGCTTCTTAAATTGTTATTTAGTTTTTATTGGGCAGCCTCCTCAGCCACAGCAGGCTCAGACAGACTCCACATTTCTTTCTTTTCGAATCTTTCTTATCAATGAACATCAGCGATCCTGTCATTTTAAAGGTCTTTGTGGATTCTGTGTCTCAATATTGTACAGTTTTCTGTGTAGAAGACTTGTATATTTTTGATAGATTTACTCCTAGGTATTTAACGTTTCCTGATGTTATTGTAAATGATTTCATTTAAGGCTGGGAGCCGTGGCTCATGCCTGTAATCACAGCACTTTGGGAAGCTGAGGAGGGTGGAGTTTGAGACCAGCCTGGGCGACACAGGAAGGCAGACCCTGTATCTACCAAAAAAAAAAAAAAACAGCCAGGCGTGGTAGCACATTTCCTATAGTCCCCGCTACTTGAGAAGTTGAGGCAGGAGGATGGCTTGAGTCCAGGAGTTGAGACTGCAGTGAGTTATGATTGTGCCACTGTACTCACTCCAGCCTGGGCAACAGAACAAAAAAAGAAAAAAGTATTTCACTAAAAAATGTTCATTTTTACATTGTTTGCTGCTGGTATATAGAAATATATTTTAAAACACTTGCCTTACAGCCAGCAATCTTGCTAAATTTATTTTATTTATTTATTTTTTTTTTTGAGATGGAGTCTCTGTCACCCAGGCTGGAGTGCAGTGGCGCAATTTCTGCTCATTGCAACCGCCCAGGTTCAAGCAATTCTCCTGCCTCAGCCTCTCAAGTAGCTGGGATTACAGGCACGCGACATCTCACCTGGCTAATTTTTGTATTTTTAGTAGAGACGGGGTTTCACTGTGTTGGTCAGGCTGGTCTTGCACTCCTGAACTCGTGATCCGCCTGCCTCGGCCTCCCAAAGCGTTGGGATTAAGGGTGTGAGCCACTGTGCCCGGCCTGCTAAATTTATATTCTAACAGTTTATCTGTAGATCCTTTTAGATTTATCACTCATAATCACATATTCCATGAAAAATGACAGCTTAGTTTCCTCCTTTCTAATCTGTATATATTTTATTTCTTTTAAAAATACTTTATTTTTTGCCTGGTTGTCCTAGCCAGGACTTCCGACAACATGGGACAGAAATGGTGACGGCGGACATTCTTGTCTTATCCTTAATCTCAAGGGAGCGAAAAGCTTTCATAGGTGAACACAGCCATAAGACTAACTAATGACCCTGCAAATCAGGGATGAGCCCGCAAATCAGGATGCTCTGAAGATCACAAACTAGCAAGAAGCATGATCCACATTGGTGCGGGTCAGTTCCACGTGCCCTTGCAACCGCTCGAGGACTCTGGGGCCCAAAGATAAGTAACTCACTCCATACAGTACTCGGAGAACAGAGAGCAGAAAAATGTCTCCCATCCCAGTTTCGGCACAAGTATTAGAGCAAAACCTCCACTCAGGACCTGGCATCCTTGTGGCAAGCCCGTCCCAGTTCAGCACAAGTGTTAGAGCAAAACCTCCACTCAGGACCTGGCATCCTTGTGGCAAGGCAGACACAGCTGAGGTGGGGCTAAGTCTTAGCTTCCAACGCCACAGCTTTTGTTCAAGTTTGGATGGCAGCCGCTCCATGACCGGAGGCAGCGTCTGTCTCAGTCTGGGAACACGGCTGAGCTGACTTGATTCTGATGGTCCTGCTGCCTGAGTCAACACGCCTACAGCTACATGGCTGCTTGCATTTCAAGACCCAGACATCAGGGCAAATACAGGCCCAGCTAAACCTCAACTCAGGTGAGAAGCCTTCAGGGGCCATGTTGCCCTGTAGTTCCCACCCACGCCCTCCCCAGTTCGGGCCTGTCAAGACCCACACTCCCTATCGCCCATCGGCACTGGCCCGGGGTCTGAGGAAGTAAAATTCTAGTTCCAGCAGATGGTTTTCTCATCCACACCTCAAAACGGAAGTAAACAGAGGATGCTGATTGTGGGTTTGTTAAAAAAATAACAATGGATGTAACCACTGGATGAACTGGCATTTTTCTGAAGATACTGGCTTTGGGTCTGAGCTTACTATAATTACTAAAATACTTTTTTTTTTTTGCAGAGGAGATGGCGTCTTACTCTGTTGTCCAAGCTTCAGTGCAGTGGCACAATCACAGCTCACTTCAGCCTGGGTTCAAAGAATCCTCCCACTTCAGCCTCCTGAGCAGCTGGGACTGTAGGTGTGGACCATTGTGCCTAGCTAATATTTTATTTTTTTGAGAGATGGGGTTGCACTATGTTGCCCAGGCTGGTCTTGAACTCCTGGCCTCAAGTGATCCTCCCATTTCAGCCTCCTGTCACTGGGATTTATTCTTTTTTTTTTTTGAGATGGAATCTCACTCTGTTGCCCAGGCTGGAGTGCAATGGTGCGATCTCGGCTCACTGCAAGCTCCACCTCCACCTTCAAGTGATTCTCCTGTCTCAGCCTCCTGAATAGCTGGGATTACAGGCATGCATCACCACACCTGGCTAATTTTTTTTTTTTTTTTTTTTTAGATGGAGTTTTGCTCTTGTTGCCCAGGCTGGAGTGCAGTGGTGCGATCTCGGCTCACTGCAACCTCTGCCTCCCGGGTTGAAGCGATTCTCCTGCCTCAGCCTCCCGAGTAGCTGGGATTACAGGCACCCACCACCACGCCCGGCTAATTTTTTGCATTATTAGTAGAGACAGGGTTCACCACGTTGGCCAGGCTGGTCTCAAACTCCTGACCTCAGATGATCTGCCCACCTCGGCCTCCCAAAGTGTTGGGATGACAGGCGTGACCCACCACACCCAGCCGGTATCCCAAGGTTTTCGTGTTTTTTTGTTTTTTTTTTTGAGATGGAGTCTCACTTTGTCACCCAGGCCGTAGTGCAGTGGTGTGATATCGGCTCACTGCAACCTCTGCCTCCCAGGTTCAAGTGATTCTCCTGCCTTAGCCTCCCGAGTAGCTGAGATTACAGGTGCCTGCCACCATGCCCAGCTAATTTTTGTATTTTTAGTAGAGATGGAGTTTCACCATGTTGGCCAGGTTTGTCTCAAACTCCTGACCCCAGGTGATCCGCCCGCCCAGGCCTCCTGAAGTGCTGGGGTTACAGCATGAGCTGCCATGCCCAGCTACCTCTTCTTACTGGAGTGTGAGCACTAGGAGCAGGGCCCTTTCTGTGGTGCTTGCTGTGTTATACCCTGCACCCAGAACTTAGTAGGCATTCAAACAAAATTTTTAAAAATAAATGGAAGAATGAATTAAGAAATCTTCCAGGTAAGTCATCATACTGTCCTCAAACAGGGACATCATCAATTTTATTCCTGCCAAGTAGATCTGGACTATAAGAACATGTGCTTGATCTACAACAAAAGCTGCCAGGCAAACGCCTGATACTAAGTTCATCTCACCTGTTCTGCTCCCACCATGCTGATTGGCTTGCACTTGAAGAGGTGGGTGATGAATTTGGGAATGAAGGAGCTGTGGATAAAAAAGAAGTGACAAATTAGGCTTATTCTTTCTTGAGGAAAGAAATGCAAAAACTTTTTTTAAGGTTCCACGTATCTCCATGAAAAAACCTTTTTTAATGAAGAATGGAAGTGGACTCCACTGTCGCCCACCAGCACCTATTACCTTATTTTTCTTCTGAGCGAAGCCCTGGTTTTTGGGTTTGTTTAGTTACATGAGGCCCCGGCAGGCCCGGGAAAACCGGATCCATCTTAGACCCCCAGTGAACTCTAACTATTCTCAGCTGGTCAGAGCACGGCATTCCTTTGGTGACTATTGTGTGTCCTGAGAGGGGATACGATCGAAGCTGGCCCAATCAGACTGGATGAAAGGACTACAGGCACCGCACCTGGCTAATTTTTAATTCTTTTGTAGAGGCAGGATTTCGTTACGTTGCCCAGGCTGGGCTCAAACTCCTGGCTTCAAGTAGTCCTCCTCCCTTGGGCTCCTGAAGTGCTGGGATGACAGGCGTGAGTCACTGAGCCTGGCCAGGCTTCCTTGATTCTTCATTCTCTGTCTCCAGCCTCATCCTGCTAAGCCCTGGCCTCCCTAGGCTTCAACCCAACCAAGCTGCTTGCAGATCCCAGGATTCTGGGGGCTATTTAATGCCTACACTGCTCCCCCGCCTGGACTGCCTTTCCTAGAAGGGGTTTGTGGGTCAGTACACACGCACCTCTCAGATCCTGTTCAACCGCGTCTCTAGAAAGCCTTTCTTCCATTGCCTTCGCCGTACTCTCCATGGAGTCCGCAGGCCTCCACCCTCACATCTAACCTACTTCATTATGCTCATTTGCCTACAGGTCCATTTTGCTTCACCTGACTGTTAAGGCACATGAAGATGGGGGCCATGTTTATTGGGCCAAAGCATTTAACTCTGGGTCTGAGACACAGGAGACGCTCAAGTGAATGCACACTGAATACATCATACTTTTTTTTTTTTTTGGAGACAGAGTCTCCCTCTGTCACCCAGGCTGGAGTGCGGTGGCGCAATCTTGGCTCACTGCAAGCTCCGCCTCCTGGGTTCAAGCCGTTCTCGTGTCTCAGCCTCCTGAGTCGCTGGGATTACAGGCACCCACCACATCTGGCTAATATTTGTATTTTTAGTAGAGAAGGGGTTTCACCATGTTGGCCAGGCTAGTCTTGAACTCCTGGCCTCAAGTGATCCACTCGTCTCGGCCCCGCAAAGCGCTGGGACGACAGGCATGAGCCGCCGCGCCCGGCCGCCTACCACGCTCTGAATGTCAGCTAGGTATCAGCACTTTACCGGGAAGTTACTATGTGATTTCTCATTTTACCCTCCTGACCACTATTGTGAGATTTGTCTCATCATCTCCTCGATGAATGGAGGAGGATCAGCTCCGTGGATGAGGGAAGCTGCTTGTGGTTCAACTGCAGTTTCCACCAGGCTATGGATTCTGATGTCTCAGTAGGAACAGCTGCTATTGCTTAGACAGCAAACAGAGGTAAAAGGAAACATCTATGGTTTTGCATGGGTGGGGTAGAAAGCAAGCTAAGGGAGAGGAAACTGGAGTCCAGAGATCGGATCTGGAGGTGACTTGTGATCAGGAAGGAGAATAAACAAGGGGCTATTTGGAAGGAATTCCTCAGTGCTGGAAACCAGAGCCAGACAAGTAACATGAGACTGAACTCATGACCAATGGCAACTGTGCACACAATGGTTTGTGACCTAAATTGCTTCACATTAGAACATGCTCTGGGCTGGGTACAGCAGCTCATGCCTATAATCCCAGCACTCTGAGAGGCCGAGGCAGGCGGACTGCTTGAGCCCAGGAGTTTGAGACCAGCCTGGGCAACATGGCAAAATCTCATCTCTACAAAAAATAGAAAAATTAGCTAGGCGGGGTGGTAAGCACCTGTAATCCCAGCTATTCAGGAGGCTGACATGGGAGAATCACCTAAGCCCAGGAGATGGGGGCTGCAGTGAGCTGTGATCGCACCACTGCACTCCAGCCTGGGTAACAGAGTGAGACCCTGTATCGAAAATTTAAAAAAAAGCTTTGGCTGTGCCCCTGAACTGGCTGTCTATACTACTCTACAGGTGGCGTGGGGGGAATACGAGGACCTGACACGCGTCCTGTGGGAAGAAGACCAAGCAGTGTGCTGGGTAACTGCCAAGGGCTTCTCTGGGCCATCAGGGCGGTGGTGGCTGCTGCCCTTGGCCAGGGAAAGGTCTCCTCACAAGCCCACCTCTGTTAAGTGGGATTTTACCAGGATGAGAAGGCACCATGGATGAAAACAGAAAACCACTTCCTAGATCCCAGGCTGAACGATTCCAGATGTGAGGATGGGCATCCAATTCCCAGTACACTCAACCTGGGCTTAGCAATGAAATTCAAGGGCTCTGAGAGAATGTGAGGCTGGTGCTGGGAGATGCTGGGACTGGCTAAGTTAACCGACTCCTCCTTCACTTAACGTATAAGCTCAATGATATGACTGAGATGGGAGACGCTGGGACTGGCTAAGTCAACAGACTCCTCCTTCACTTAACGGAAACTCAATCAGACCCCGGAGCACCCACCCTGGAGATTTTCAGTCACAGTAAATTTTTACAGAGACGCTGCTTCCTCCAGCAGTTATGGGGAGTGTCACAGTGTGATTTATCAGCAGCGCTTCTTACATGCTAATAGGCACCCAGGGAGTGAGGGAATTCCACCTCCTGGTCCGTCTGCCATCTGCAAACAGTAATGCCTCCCTGGAGAGTCCACTCTATACTTTCTTGACAAACTAGAAAGTAAAGCTGACACCACAAGCCGCTCCGTAACTGTTAGTCCTGAGGGGTTCATTTGTGAGGCAGAGGGAAACCACGGGAGATTTGGGGAAGACAGAAACTTGGAGTCCTGAATCACTAGCTGGGGCCTGGATGGGAACAACTCAGATACAGTAGCTTGGCCTGGGCTGACCCTCCTGAAGCCCTTCCCTGAGAAGTCTGCCAAAATGCTTGCTTGATAACTGGTCAGAGGAGACACTGACCCTCAACCCGCCTGGTAGCACGGGAAAGGGTGCTAAGCCAGATGGTGATCGGCAAAGGACCAAACTATTTCCTCGCTTCAAAACTCAGGGCAGAAATGGCCACACCCGAGGACACAGCAGGAAGATGCCGGCTCAGGGTGAACTCACCTGCCTTGGCCATAGAGCTCCCTGACTTGGGCATCCCAATTTCTAGTGCCTTCCTCGGAACAAGAGTGTGTCCAAGTATTAATAGATAAATTCTAGTAGCCATGGTAAAAAATACCAGGGGGAGGGAGGGGGAAGAAGGCTCAAAAGAAACAGAACTGATGGCTCCTACCCTTAAGAGGCATTTATAAGCCACTCAGAGAAACAGAATGCATACAGGGAATCCCTGAAAAAGGATTTTAATCATCCAATCCTGGGCAGGGGGTGCGTATGCCTGCACAGTTCAAAACAACATAGGCCCCATTCATTTTTGTTTGCCTTGACGTGGCTGGGGACTGTACTGCTGTTACTGTTGCCTATGACTTTAAGTAGTAGATTTAGTTTTATTAGTAAGCTTCTTCTGTGTACAAATTAGAATTAGTACTGCAGGCACCAGAACGAACCCCAGCTGGATGGTGCGGACACCCAAACTGTGAGGGTGCTGGTGGGAAGTATGGTTTTAAAAACAACCCAGTTGAGTGTGACACTGAAATGGCGGCCACACGTCACTGTCCATTTGTCCAGACCCAGGGAAGGTCCAGCACGACGTCACAGAGTCCGGGTGACAATGCCATGTCGAAGCAGGTTCATCTACTGTAATGAATCTGCCACTTTGTGTGTGGGGTGTCGGTGATGGGAAGACTGTGCAAGTGTGGGGGTCATGTACACAGCAAAGCTCTGAACTTTCTGCTCCATTTGGCTGTGAACCTAAAACTGTTCTAAAACATAAAGTCTATTAAAAAAAAAAAAAAAGAGCCCAGAGATGAGAGTGCCCAGGACTCACTTTGCAAATTTAATGCAGAACTGAGTGAAGTACTTGCGTGTGGAGGCCAGGTTGTCACGGATGATGGGGACGTTCTGCTTGATGTGCAGGATGACAGAGGTGACGTAGGGGCTCTGGTCCCCAACGTGCTCCACGTTCTGCCACTGCATCTGCAAGGGAGAAAGGACGAGGTGCTGAATCCCTCACAGGAGAACGGTGTTGCCTGTTGCTGGGGAAGGGAGGGGCTGGAGTGGAAATCAGGTCACAGCTTTGGTATCCCAGGAATCAGGTGCTTTTGTCCTGGGGAATTTATTTGTTCGTAGGGACTGACACTCAGGACAAAAACAAGTGTGTCCAGTGGACCCGACAGTGAGGTTGACCCAAGCCCTTTCCTTTTCCTGCCTTGTCCCCGTCATGCCTGAAACAGCCTTCCCTTCCCAGCTAAGCTACCCACTCGTAAAGGATCCTGTTCTCCTGCCGAGTGCCCCACAGCAGGGGACCGCAGCAGGACAGCAAGGAACACCCACCCCCAAGCTGACTGGCAGCCTGGGAGATGAGAGCGGTGGCTGGGCTAAATGACACGAAACCTGGAGGGGAATTCACAGACCCCTTTCTCTCCAGTCAACTGGGAGTAGTTTGGGATTCTTTAACACAGAAGACTAGAAATGATGTGACGTGTGGGGACGAAGTTACTGGGAAGAGGTGCAGATGAGATAAGATCGTGAAACTGAGTGGCACGTACATGAGGCTGACCATATTGTTTCCTCTACTTTTGAATATATTCCAAAATTTCCATAATAAAACACTTGAAGAGGTATGCGTGTAGAATCTTCCACTCCTAAAACCTTTGGGATCATGTCAGGATTTCAACAACGGGAAGGGAAAGAGAATCTCTGGCAAACACTCGGGTGGACCAGAGGGTAAGACGGAGACATGGGGAACAGGGCGGGAGTCAGGCGCAGGGGGAGAACATTGCTGAGAGCACCAAGGCAGTCCCTGAACAGGCTGTGAACAAAAGTGACAGACCTGCTCCAACCTGAGCCCTAACAACAGGCTCTGGAAAACACCTACAGCAAACTGGCTGGATTCCTGACTCCGCGGCACTTGGCAGCACTGAGACCTGGGAACAGAAGGAGGCAGTGCTGCGGTGTGCCATCCCTGAGGCGGCGTGCAGGGGACGGGCACAGCACCAGCTCCCCGTCTGCCCCAGGCTGGCAGGGAAGGGCACGTAACCCCGAAGAGTGGGGATGGTCTGGAGGGTTCTGCTGAGTCAGCCTCTCACAGTGGAGCTGGATGGGCTGTTAAAGAGATCCTAAGCCAAACACAAACCGTATAATATGTTCATAGAAGGAGGTCAGTAGTTCTGAGGCCCCAGTGTCTCTGGCAAGAAAACACTATTTTTATAGAACTCCTGGGGAAAGGAAAAATTCAATACTGAGAGAGCTTGTTTAAAAGAATCACATCGCACGTGGATGAGTCCCCAGCCATGGGAAGCTCAAATGACTCCTAATGCTTTTTCAAATCAGGGGATATTTGTATTCTAAAAGCTTCAGCGATGTGTACACACAGAACCACAAGAAAGCAGGAAGGGACCTCCATCTTCATTTCACAGATAAGCAAACCAAGGCCCAGAGATATGAAGAGTCTTATGCAAAGCTTCATAACCAGGCTCCACACAGGAAAAAGAACTCTAATTTATTACTGGGAAAAAACAGAAACCAACAATGAAGAAACAGTAGAAAGGTCTAATATGAACTGACTTAATACTCCAATGTTTTGGTTACGTGAAATGTTTTTCTCATTATCTTTTCTCTTACGCAAGAGGCTTCTTTTTCCATTGGATTCTGAAGATTTGACCCATCCACACAATGAGCATCCTAGGTGATTTTACATGAGCTCACAGGGTGAGGCCAAAATCCAGGTGCTGTCAGTGTTTCCTGGGCTCCGCAGCAGGACTTGGAGCAGAATGCTCCGGGGAGACACAGCGACCTGGGAGGGTTTGACGCCCCAAAGCCCATAGACGCAACGCTCTTCCACAGAAATGACTATTACTTTCCAGGCTGGCAGCTTTGTGTATTTCAAAATCTCAAAACAGTTTATCAGCAATGATCGAAACATGACAGTCCTCCATGAAAGGAGGTGGTGACGTGCTCTGTTACCAGTTACAAAGTGACTCAAGCAAGACCGAGCAGGGGCCGGGATTTCTTCAACTTCCACGGGTTATTCCGCACGCTCATCACCTAGCTCCTCGATAGTCACTGGCCAGGTCGGTGCGTGTCCACATTTGGAAACACGTGGAAAGAGCTGAGTTGCTTTAATACCCTGGTCAGTCACGACTCCACTGGTCAAGTTAAAACGAGTATTAGCAAAGGCCAAATGGATTCATGATTTTAAATTTAAGTCAGCTCAGTGAACTAAGAAAGGGATTTAAAGTACTAGAAAACAATAAAAGGTGACCTTATTTTTAAAATATGTGGCACACGCCTATAGTCTCAGCTACCAGGGAGGCTGAGGCAGGAGGGTCACTGGAGCCCAGAAGGTTGAGGCTGCAGGGAGCTGAGATTCTACTGCTGCACTCCAGCCTCAGATGGCTGATGCTCGCCGTCATCCATCATGGATGACTGAAGGTTTGGGTCACAACCTGAACTGCCTGAGACAGCTATATTGAGACCGAACCTCGCAGGTCACTTTGCCCGGCCCTAAACATACATCATCTCATTTACTATTCATACATGATCTCACTTCGTTCTCACAACAACCTTGTAGACGAGGAAATTAAAAAGGCTCAAAGAGATTTGGTATCTTGCACAAAATTTCACAGCTGGGACAACCAGGTCTATCGAAAGCCCAAACCCCACACCAAGGTGCTTGCTAGACAACTTCCCCCCGGACCCACCCCCACCCCCCACCCCACCGCCTTTGCCTGCAAAAAAGAATAAAAGCACTTAACTAGGCCTTTGTTCAAGGTAAGGCCTGTTTCTCAAGGAGAAGCGAATGAAACACAGTGATCAAGCAAAGGACTCTTTCTTTCTTTATTTTTTTATTTTCAGACAGAGTCTCTGTTGCCCAGGCTGGAGTGCAGTGGTACAATCATAGTTCCTGGCAGCCTCGACTTCCTGGGCTCCAGCAATCCTCCCAGCTCTGCCTCCCATGTAGCTGGGACCACAGGTGTACACTACCATGCCCAGTGAATTTACAAAAACACTTTTTTTTTTTTTTTACTTTTTGTAGAGACGGGGGTCTCACCATGTTGCCCAGATTGGTCTTGAACTCCCTGGTTCAAGCAATCCTCCTGCCTCAGCCTCCCAAAGTCTTGGGATTACAGGCGTGAGCTACCACGCCCGGCCCAAAGAACTCTTTCAAAAAAGGAAACAAACAGTGTCTTGCGTTGGAAGAACAAACATCATGAAAAGCCATCAGTAGAAATAAGACCTCAACTTTTCCAGGTAAACTTTTCATTGGACATTTATAAGTTACCCCTTTACACTTAAAATTGCTTCTTGTTGTGCTTTTTGTTGAGGGGGCTTGGGTAGAGTTGAATACAGATGGCGTTCAACTGGTACTATCTAAACAAGACAGTTTGAAGACATAAAAATGATGAGCGCCTCCAGGACCCAGTCTAACCACCACAGGAAGAGACTGCGGGGCCCGGCGTGTCCCCAGAGCCCGGCTTCCGCTGCCTGGGCAGGAAGTGTGTGCTCTGTGTGACGCTCCACGGCGGGGCTGGGGGGCCAGCACTCTTGCTAGAGAGAGCCTACTGTAGCAGGAACTTGGATCAGAGAACAGCGCTCCACAACTAGCTTCAGTGGATCTCGTTTTTTCCTATTGCCATACGAAGCTTGGAAAGAGGTTTCTTGAAAATCTGAATACTTAAATTCCTACTTCTTCACTGGATTAGAGAGACACAGAACACAGACTCAGTCAGTGGGGCTCTGGGAGCATTTCAGGCAACTGAAGTCTCATATTATAATTGAGGCTGCCGGGGTGCTGGCCTCAAGCAGTAGACTTTACTCAGGCACGCACCTACACGCTCACTCACTCTGACGCCTGGTGGGGCTCCTTTCACTCCTGCAGCATCAGATATATTTATAGGTACCTTGGGCAAGTGCAGCACGGCACCGAGCATTGGGTGGGGACCAAAGAGGTGAAGGAAGCTTTATCAAGCACCTACCACACACCAGGCACTGAGGGAACGTTTATCGAGCACCTACCACACACCGGGCGCTGAGGGAACGTTTATCGAGCACCTACTACACACCAGGCACTGAGGGAACGTTTATCAAGCACCTACTACGCACCCGGCGCTGAAGGAACGTTTATCGAGCACCTACTACACACCGGGCGCTGAGGGAACGTTTATCAAGCACCTACTACCCACCGGGCGCTGAGGGAACGTTTATCAAGC